TTTTTTTTTTGGGTAGTAAAATCTAAATCTTTCTCATCATTTTACTGGTAATTAACCAATGGTTTTTGTTACAGAGGTTCCTGCCGTCGGAGTTTGGACATGATGTGGACAGGTCCAATCCGATGCAGCCAGGACTAAACATGTACAACGATAAACGCAGAATCAGACGAACGATTGAGCAGTTGGGCTTATCCTACACCTACATTTGCTGCAACTCAATTGCTTCGTGGCCCTACCATGACAACACTCATCCTTCGGAGGTTCTTCCACCGCTCGATCAGATTCCAATCTACGGTGATGGCACCGTCAGAGGTACGACAATCACCGTAGAAAATAAATGCTCTTTTTTTTTTTTTTTTATAAGGACAATAATTAGTATGTTAATATTGTTAAATATTAATAATTAGGATTTGACCCTCATATCTTATGAACAATCTACTTGTGTGAATTAGACTTTTTTTTTTTCATTTGGTATCTCCAACTAACTTCTAAGAAAAAGTGGGGTGTAATTATTGCTATTTATTGTTTTATTAAAATAATTTAATTGTAAAAAAGTTTAATAATTAATAAAATAATTAAGATTTATTATTTAATAGATTAAATTAAATTTATAAATAAATAAAATATTAATCAAATTAAATAATTTTTAGATAAATTTAATAAAATAACAATTGACTATTACTACGCCCAAAAAGTGACGTTGGGTGGTTTTCCTTTCATCAATTGTCAAGGTCTTATAGGATTGGTACAAATGGACTATAAAACTGCTCTTTAATTCTCTTAATAATGTTATTGCTTTCCAATTTTTTTGGGATAAAGGGTGTATACCTTTAATTTTGATTAGATTAAGAGTAAATATAAAGTATAAGTAAGTACATATACCAACCAAATTTTAGATTAGTTGGTAAGTACTAATTAAAAAAAATTAATCTTAAATCAAAAGAATTCCCACCTCTATAACACTTAACAATTAACTATGATTATATATATATGTATAATAACTCTTGCCGTTCATGAGCTAGTGCTTCTGATAAGACTCTCCGTGACTATGATATACTCGGTTGCTTCAGTGTATGTATGATATGAACTGACATCTGGGGTTGGTTTAGAGGACATGATGTGAGAGCTTTTGTCTGCTGCCTGTGAATTATTCGGTCAAAGTTTATATAGATGGACATAGTTGCGTGTTAATCTTATTGGCAGCAAAGGCTTTCTATTGCAATCTCAATCCTTTATCATCATCGACCAGAGGGCATTTCTTTACTGCATTTATACATACACACATATATATATATATATGCTCGTTTTACCATAAGACATTAATCCGTTTACCAAGGGAAAAAAATAAAGAAGAAAGATTATAATTTGTCTTACGTTAAAGCGGCATTTATTTATTTTTAATAGATAGTTGAGATTTTTTATATTTTTTAAATAAAAATATAATAATTTTTAATAAATATAAATAAATTTTAATTATTATAAATAAATAAAATTTTATATAAATATAATACATAAAATTTATGTACAAATAAATTTGTACTCATATATATATATATATATATAAATGAAAACAATTACTTATAACCATCATTATATTTTTTTTAATTAGGGACAGGGGTAAGGGTCGTTGAGGGTCGAATACCAAACGCCCTAAAGTATAGATTATTGAGTGATATTAGCTGCATTCGGTAATTTTTTAGTAAGGGCGGTTATCTATTTGCTAGTACCATCACGTGGAGAACTGACATGAAGTATATTAAGACTTGGTTATTAAGGATTTCAATAAAATGATTTAATAGTTAAAATTTTGAGATTTTAAATTAAAAATTTTAAATTTAAATTTTGAGTCAGATGTGAAGAGATTTAAAAAAAAAAAAAAAAAACTTTATCAATATTTTTTATGATGCTCTGTACCACTGACTGTTCAGCATCATCCTTAAACAACTTGTATAGATTATTGAAAGATGTTAACTACACTCGGCATTGTCTAGTGCTACATGTACTCAGGCTGTGATCGATCTGAGTGTCATTTTTTTAAAATAAAAAAAGTGAGAAGGATCAATGAGAGTAAAAATGCTTCTGCACTTAGGTCCATACCGAGTGCACGTATCACTTCTCTAAATCATTTGCTAATTATGATGATGAAAGCGATGATGTTTTGTTTTTCTGGTTTATTTTATTTTTGTTTTTCTGGTGCAGCTTACTTTGTTGCTGGATCTGATATTGGAAAATTCACAATGAAGACGGTGGACGACATGAGGACATTGAACAAGTCAGTCCATTTCAGGCCATCTGGCAACCTGTACAACATGAACGAGCTTGCGGCGTTGTGGGAAATGAAAATTAATCGTACCCTTCCAAGAGTTACAGTTGCAGAAGATGACCTCGTAGCCGCAGCCGCAGGTCTATTCAATTAGAATAAGTTCAAAATCTCACTTTCAAAGTTTTAAAGTATAAACTAATTAAATTTGATTCGTGATTGATTGGTGCAGAGAATTGTATCCCACGAAGTATTGTGGCATCATTCACGCATGATATCTTCATTAACGGATGTCAAGTCAATTTCGTAATTGGCGGCCCTAAGGAGGTTGAGGTGAGCAGTCTGTATCCGGGTGAGCCATTTATAAGCTTGGATGATTGCTTCAATGACTTTGCTGCTAAGGTTGGAGAACAAAACAAAAAGGACACCAACGATGTTGCAGCCCCAAAGCCTGTGGTGGAGGCCCTGCCTATCACGGCAACATGTGCTTGATGTTTATCTTCTTTAATTATGTTGTTATGCAGAGAGTAGTTTTCAATTACTACTGTGATTTATTCTTAATTACCATTTTCTCCATGTGATTCAACTTGTGTACAAAACAATTTGTGTAATAAATGTGCTTTTTTCTAAACCTATGGTCCCATGATCCAGCAAACATAATTTTGGTACTTCAAGTATTAACAATCTAGTTCTGAGCTTGATCAATCAGAGCAAGAGGAGATGTTAAAAACATGAAAAATAATTCATACACTTTCGATTCAACACACTCTTTAATATTTGTCTCAATTTATTTATTAAAATATAATATAAATATAATTAATTTAATCAATTTTTATATCTGACATACATGATTATATTTTTAAGTTTGTTTATCTTTAATTTTATATTTAAAAAAATAAATTTTTAATAAATATATTATATATTATGTTGAATCTAAATATGTATTTATCAATGTCCTAAAAACAAACTTGTAATCAGCAAAATCAGCAACTTTATTGAATTGTGCATGGGGTTATTGTATTTACAGTTCTTGATAACATGATCGGGAGATGCCAGAATTGCTAGCTTATCAGTGCTTGCTTGGTAAAAAAATTACAAGCAATGATTAAAATTTAAAATGGAAGGAAGAAGAAGGTGGCTTTACATGGGCTTTCTTCAGGTCGGTTGAAACTAGACATCATATACAGGGAGTCGCTCTTCAATAGCAACACGGCAGATGGGACACCGTTTACACTTCTCACAGCAAGTGCTGAAAATGCAAAAGAAACAAGCATGAGAGTCCAAAACAAGATTTCAGAGATTTTAATGAAAACCAGCTATGCTATATTACTTGCGTGCAAATGTCATGGGAGTTTTAGTATGCTACCATTAGACTGACTGTATCCCTATGAAATACGAAGTTAAATCATAGCTGTTTTGACCATTTGCGTTTTGAGATACATCTCTGTGTTGGCTAAATCTAAAATCCAAAAAAAACAGGGAGACAGGAGACTAGAGATCATAAGGGTAGAAAAAAGTACCTGCAAAGGGCATGATGCCTGCACGGAAGCAAGACGACATTTATTTGTTCTTCAAAGCAAATTCGACAAAGGATCTTTTCCTGAGAGATTCATCAAATTAGCATGTAAGCATTGTATTTGATACTAGCCTGCTTGAAACTAAAACTTAAGTACTCAAGTTCTTGGATAATACATTTTGAAGCCTTTCAAATTCCTGCTGGCTATACTTGGTAATTTCAGTTTGCTCACTAAGTGCAGCTTGTAATCTCCAAATCTGAGATGAAAACAGTCGTGATAACATGGTCAGATAGCATAGAGATTTACATAGAAATTATGATTGACGAACCAAGTATTGCATGCGGAAACAGTGACCAAATAAAATACAGTAATGCAAGAGCAAGTTGCACTGAAAAACGTGCTGCATATACCTCCTCAACAAGGTCAGCTTTTGGCATTTTCTTTACAACATCAGGAGAGAAAGTGTTGTACCTGAGTGACAAGAATCAAGGAAAATCAGCAAAGCTAAGACTTCCGGTTGTCTGTATTGGCCACGGTTCATATATCAAAGCAAAATACAGGTTAACATGTTCCCATTGAATATGTTACCATGCAAGCAATCCCTTTTTCTTTTAAATGCCCGTTCCATATATTAATTGTAGAAGTGTGATGAAACATGAGGGATGCAGATGAGAAAGGCATAAAAGATGTATTGTCTTCATACAGTGAATTAGACAATAGATTAGACCAAGACAGTCTAAAAGATGAATTAATTTGGTGATAAAATGATAATCCACTCTCCATTCTGTGGCCATTAATAGGAGACGATAGCTAACAAAGAATTTTTTACTTTCTCCAGACGCCAAACTCCAAAGTAATTCACCACTAGAGCAATGCATTTTCCTTTTTTCTTTATTTCTTTATTTTGGTAATCATCTCGGGTAAGGTATTTAGCATTTCCTGCACACAGGAATGAGCTGTGATGTCTTGGAATAGGTTTGTGAAGGGAATTTAAGAGGCCTTTCTCTGGTTGCTCCATAAAGAAAGCAGCCACAGATTAGATAAGTCAACACATTTTGCTAGACAAAGGTATTATGCATAATTCACCCAAAACAAAAACATGATATAAGCTATACGGCATTAGTGTGCAAGACAGAATACAAACCCTGATGCCTCTGCACAATAAAGTCTAGCCTGTTCTTCTCGACTTCCTTCATCAATTGACCACCAACCCAGCAACCTGTTAGAAGATATGCAAAAGCCATTAGATCATGTCTAATTGTACTGGTTAGAATCTAGTAGATGTCATCCAAATTTTAAATGCTAAGATGAAAATACATAATTACCTTGAACCATGGCGCAAGAACCCAAGCAATTCACTAATTCTCGATGATATATTAAAGTATCTTTCAGAACCAGCTTCAGTATGTAGTAAAAGAACAACTTTTTCCACCAATCTGTATGCAGCAAACAAAACTCCAGCTCCTTGCAACAGCAAAAGAGGAGCAAAAAGAACTGGAGGTGGTATATTTTTTACACTGGGTGGCGTTCCCTGACATAGTTCAGTACTAAATATGAGGACAACAACAATTAACTTGAGAAAATTACCACAAAAAGGCCATTCTCAACAACTGTTGTACCTCTAAGTGCATGAAAAGCAGGATCTGGAAACTAATAAATGGAATTTTCATAACATGTCCACCAATATCTTGCAGGTTGCATATTCTACCGTTCAGCTGTCGGTCTTCATCAGAAGACACTACTAATCCTCTGTTCCAGTCAAGGTATCTTATAGTCATTGAAGATGAACTGGGTTCTCCAAGGTGAGAATTCCTATGAATTGCTGGATTATACCACTTTGTGCAAACAAGGAAGGCAAAGCACTCTGCAATACTGCAAAAGAAAATACAAGACTATTCCAATAGGCAAAGAAGCTAAGGGAAAAGGACAAAATCAACCAACCACTAAAGGAAAATCAATCCATCGTACCCAAAATTTATAAATAGATCCCACCAACCTAGGGCAGCAACATCGCCTGCATGTAGTTGGAAAAGATCAAGAAAACAAATAAAAGACAATACTTCATTAAAATCAAACTCACAGTTGTTAAACATATACTAACTACAACCGATAGGAGGATTTCTCTATATCAATATGCATACAAAAAGAGTTTAGAGCATATGCTAGTCATGGCTTGTGTAGCTTAAGAAAAGAAATAACCATCATCTAGCAGGATGCAAACTATATGTTTTCAGCAAGATAACAACTAAATAAAAATTATTTCCTGTTCCAGATCATCTGCCAAGGCCTTGTTCTAGTGGAATTGGGAACATAATCTTAACTCCTGATAAGCATTAACTTTCAAATATGGACCAGTGGGAGTGGGCTCAAATTAATTGTGATGCAAATCTAAATGTCAATCTTCAAAGAATTAATAACTATAAATGTTAGGAGAGTAAAGGTTCAAAATGAAAAAAAGGAAAAAGAGAAACATGACTCACTAAATAGTAACGAAGAAAACACTGTTTCAACTGAGAAATTAACAACTTACCACATAACTTTAAAAGAGTAAATGTTGTGGCAGCAATGAAGAAGACCATAGATATCGCCACCCAAAAGTGCTAGAAACCAATGGTGAAAATTCCAGAATCAACATCATAACAGATAATGAGACAGAAATCATCAAATTGTGACATTTTAAAAATTGTATGATTATATGCACTTTAGATGGGTCAGTAAAGAGACATGAATATGATAGAGAGCATGCTCTGAGGAGTGTTTCTGAGTATTATGGGACATGGCTTGTTGCAAAGAAAAGTAAATTGTGCAAAACGCTAAAGGTTTAGTACCTTTAATTACGTCTTCTTTTACCTTTTTTTTTTTCCTGTCCTTTTCCCCTTTCTTTAATGATTATTTTACCTACAAGAAAGGACAAAATCTTTCTGCCTCTTTCCCAGTTTTCAATTAATTAAGATGTTGTCACAAGTAAAAAACAAACGAGCAAATAAATCACCATACTATTTACCAAAAAAAATAATAATAATAAATCACCATACTCAAGTAAAAGCCAGATGCGTGCTTGTATCACAATAGTCCTTCTATTTTTATAACATTTAATAGATTGAATTATTTCCATCAACCCTATGGCATGAATTAAGAAAATATTTAATACTGTCCACAAACACACCTAAGCAAAGATATTACATTATGGTTAATTTCTTTGACATCTTTCTCCCATTACTAGTCCCCCTCTAACATTTATTAGATTTTTATTAAATTTCCATATCTTGGTATTTAAAATGAAATATGATATCATTAGAGTACAAAAACATTGGGAGCAAAAAATATTGAAGAGAAGATTGCATGTGCTAATAAATACGTCATGGTTGTTTCCAAGTAATATTAAACTTAAATTTCATTGGTTGCAAGCAATTTGACTAAGAGGCTAATGTCTGTCTCTTACAAAACATATCACCTCACTGAACCTTAAACACTCACATGCTATCTCCTAAAATCAATTCATTTATTTGTAAGGTAATTAAAAGCTTACAGGAAGAGTCTCCCATATCACTTCATCAGTCATGCTTTCCTCATCCCCAGGCATCAAAGCCCTACACATCCTATAAGAAAATTAAAAAAAAAAATAAAAATAAGAAAAAGAAAGAAAGAAAAAGGGTCAATGCAGATAGAAACTGTAAGAAATAAACCATCATCCATTTTACTTTTATAAGTGACAGTGACATGCAGGACCAAGTTGATCTTGCTGAAATTAATGGATAACTCATATAATACAGCTAAAGATAATTCCAGCAAAATCACTGGCTAAAGCTTGCAAGAGGCCAAGAATGGGAAGGCATAGCACATCCACTTCTGTGACCTCTTGAAGTAGGTCATGACAAGAGCTTATGATAATCACTTGTTACTTTTGTAGTTAATTTTTTTAAGCTATCCAAGAGTCACAGATTTTGCTAAGAATCCATACATATTATTGTAGTAGGATGAACTAGAAAGAACTATGAACTGAATGATGGTTTCATGCATCAGATGAAAGGTTTAATGAACGTTCTAAATGCACGTGGAACAAAATACAAGAAGGAGCTTAATGGTTGGGTAGAAATACCTGATATTATCAACCAGGATGGCTATTTCAAAAGCAAGCAGGGGCAGGAAAACAATCTTCAAATTGACAACTGAAATACATGGATATTCATAATTAGAATTAACCAGTGGGATCTGAACACTCAACAGTGATCAAAACAGGTCCCATGTTTTCGGTATGCACACCAGATATATCAGTCTCTATACCATGACACTTGACATATTATGGTAAGCGCTCAAGTTTATGTACAGAGCTGAGAACTTCAAAATGTCAGGAATATTTATCTAGGAAGAAAAGAAGTATCATATGTGATGCAATGGAATTTATTATCATGGCTCCCCTGGATATGAAATTGATCAGTAAAAAACATCTCTAATCGGTCATTAGATAACTTGGATGGCTATATCAATATAAGAATATTGAGAAAATCCTTCAAACTAGGGAAAACTAGTTATTGAAGCTAATAGCATCTGCAGATGGTTTTCTTCAAAGGATCTTACCATAACTGTTCTCAAGATGTATGCATAAGAGTAGCTCAAAAGCAACTAGAAAAGGTGTTGCCATGATTGCATGAAATGGAGCCCACTGTCAATGAGAAGAAAAAGAACCATTGAATACATGCTCCAATATTCCATAAATATTATTGATTATTGCACCATACTTAACATATGTAAAAAGGCATATGATAAACTGCTACAAAGATGGTATACAAACTAGACAAGGGCAACATCTCGTACATGACGATCATGAGGAGCTGATGGAGCAGGTAAAGAAAACCTGCCACGTGCTACAACTGCATGGAAAAGCCACAAAGGTGCAAAAATAACCCTGCATGATATATAAAAAGGAGAGAACCAAAAAAAAAAGAAAACCATATCAGAATTTTTTTTATAAAAGAATAAAATGTAAAAAATAGAGACAAAGGTCTATTCTCAAGCTGTGCAAAAGACTATTATGAATGGTAAAATTATAGATGCCCTTCTTATGCTAACCACAATTAGGGAATAGCTAATGGATGTATATGGAAAAATTCATGACACTGACCAAGTTGAGTAGGTTACACATTCTCTCATAATAATGGTTGCTTAAAGGGTGTACCTAGTAGGAAAAATTTACAAGACCATGCATACTGATGAACCGAAATGTCTTGAACATTGAAATTCACAGGCAATAATGGATATCCCAGTTGAAGCTAGGAAGAAACAAGTCATCAGCAAAATCTCAGATTGTGAATATATATTCCAAAAATGCAAGCATACCAATTGTAATTTATTAAGAAGAGCCAGAAGAAAGTCCTGCACTCAAAATTTCAAATCTTATTTGTTAGTGATTAACCACAAATGCTCATAGGGCATAAAATTATTTTCATAACATAGGTATCTTAGGCACTGCATAAGGTTCTGCTAAAGGATGGCAGGTGCAGCCAGTAGGAATTCTTATTTCACTCTTGATAATCAAATTCTTAGTTTCTGAGCAACCTCCCGTTGACATAAAGTCGTGCAAGGGATTAAAAACTGATTATCTCATAGTCAAATAGGGGAGCCACATTCCAGTTCAATTGTGATGACTTGATAGGACAGCAGTGCCAAATTATTAGCCTAGAGGATAGAGTAAAAACCAAGATGATAAGGCACTGCAGCCTTAATTCTGCAAGACTAAACTGATTGACATTCTATTCTACATAACATTTCACTCACTTTTCTCAAAATCAATAGAAGGAAAGATACAAATACAATCAAATTACAAATCACACTAAATCTTAATTTCAAAAGGAATTACATTAAAAATATTATAATTTCCAAATTAAGAATATCATAAAGGAGTAAACAACCACTGAAACATATACCATATATGCCGGCATCTAAAAAACGAACAGCTAAAGATTGAAATTTAAAAGAAAACCCATTGATTTTCAAGCAAAGCCCGTAAATTTCCAATCAAACCAAACTCCTGATCACATCACAAGATTAAAAACAAGGGGCATTTTCAGAGCTTCCCACAATCACTCCAAACCAGACACAAAATTTCAAGTTGTTCAATTTCTCCAACTTCCTATGCAACAAAAGGGAAATTTTGAAAAATAGAGGATGAGATACGAACCACCAAGAATAAGTGACGGCATGATCGAGCTTGAGAGCAAGCAAAAGCGTGAAAGAGAAGAGGAAGGCATGGGCTACAAGCGCCTGGAGCGACTTCGCCACTCTCCTCCAGCTCATCACCCCTCTTCTCTGCACCAACATACCCAAAAGTGCAAGACGTATTTGCAGACAAACTCAGAAGCTGATTCGAATTTCCAGGACGGGAATTGGACGGGAATTTTCAGGCGGACGACGGCATACAAGTTCAGGAAAGCAGGGGATGAGACGGTGGAGGGGAAGATAGGCAACTTTGCTTTTACGCTAAATTAATTTGGCAAAAGGCATTAGAAATTTAGAAGGGGCTATTAATTTTGTTGGACGGTTATGCCCATGGTGTTTAGACAAAAGAGGTATGATAAGGTGGGAATTGAGGAGAAAGTGAGGGACAAAAGAGTCATGACGTATGGACCCACTTGCAAATATGCTGCTAGTATGTTAATAGATATTTTTCTGATTTGGAGAGTTGAAGAGGTGGATGAAGTGACGTGGAGATGGCGAAGTACACGTGGCAGCCAATTTGATTGTGAGATGATTGTCTTGATCTCGAGTGATCGTGTATGGTATAAGGATTACAACTTTGCTGCCTTTTCTAGTCAAGGATGGGAACTTTTACACTTTCTAAATTAGACTATCACTTCTTTTTCTTTTTCTTTTTCTTTTTTTTCTTCTAAATAAAGATACAAACTTTACAAATTTTCTATTTAAGACATAATTGGATGGTGAATGGTTATGTGCCATACAAAATAATTGTTTGGTATAATAGTTTGAAATTAATAATTAGTAGTTTAATTTAATTTAATGAATAAAAATATTTAAATTATTACTAATAACAATTATCAACCATTAATTTAGACAACAACTAACTATTAATTTCAAATGCTTGTACCAAACAACTCTAAAATTCACTAGTGGATCCATATTTTTCTTGTCATGTTCAAAAGAGAGTAAAGACCCCTTTAACTCTAAACCAAAAAAAAAAAAAAAAAAAAAAGACAAATCAGCACATTAGATTACTCTAAATATAACACAATTAAATAATTAGCACTTATTACTCTAATTAACCATGAACCCTAAACAAAAAATTAAAATAACAATAATAATAAAAATAAAAATTCATCTTGTCTAGTGACATTTCCAACAACATTCAACTCAAAATTCATCATTTGGCACCAAAAACTCAAAATTGAGAGGAATAGAAAGAAATCACACAATAATTAAAGGCAATTATTTCTTAAATATCAAAAGTCATTTGAATAGCTATAGAAATTAAAAAACTTAAACTTCCTTAGATGATCCATTTATAGAGGAAAAGCACGATATAGTCTAACTTTGCTTTTTATCTTCTTCATTTTTTAGTTATTTAACTTGAATCCTAAAAGACTCATTTACAAAAATCACCACCATCAAAACTCTTCAATTTTCCTAGATTGAATGGTCATTCCTTGTTTCAATATCTCTCTCCCACTATCGTCTATTTCATGATCCCAAAACTCTCAAATTAAACAAGCTTCCATCATCATGCTCAAATTGAATAAGAATAATTTAGCAAGGGCTTTCTCAATGGGTGGAGGTAATGGTTACAAGGGATGAGTCAAATCCCTTCTAGAATTAGAACAAAAGTGTGTGCTGCCAGTTATCAAGAGTATGATTGGAGAATAGAAAAGTAGAGCTGATAAGGTAAGTAGCTGATCCTTGATGTGTGCAGAAAGAAGAGGAGAGAACGATGGCTTTATCGGCCAAGTGTGCGTGAAGGTTAATTGACAAAAAATAAAAAATAAAATAAAAGAAATGAAGGATTGGAAGAAAGGAAGAGATATATGGCCAAGTGTATGGTTGATTAAGATGGTGAATTAATATAATGGCAGAGATAGATACGGTGGGTGTGTGCAGTTAAGGGTGCGGTTGAGGATTTTAATGAATAGAGTAATTACCAACATTTGTTGATCTGAGTGGAAGAATCTAGGTTCTTCTTAAGTAAGATTTTAAGTTCGAGTATTATAAATGAAGAAATTAAATTTCAGATTAGTTAAAATCTAATATAATTATCGGATACCAATAGATTAAAAAAAAAAGAGAATAATTTGGGAAGAATAAAAAATCCTAAGGAAATTTAATTTAATTATTAAAGTATTAAATATGGACCCACTAATATGATTTTTTTTTTTCGTGTTTTTGGCTGATTAGCACCCCACATCAGCAAAGCATGGTTTCCCTTTACACAGGTTAGTAGTCTGTTATAAATCAATTATAACTATTTACGTAATAATAGTTTTAAAATAAATGTAAATTTTCATAAACTTTTATATAAATTAGTTGTAAAAGTGTACATTTAGTGCATTCGTAAGGCACAATTTGAACAAATTCTAAAAAAATTGAAAGGTAACTGCTTGATTTGGAAATCAAAAAAATTTATTACCTTAAATAGAAAAGGCACCAAAGTTTGAATCCTTATATCCTTATCTGCTTTCCCATAAATGATTGACCGTTCATTCTGTAATCTCACCCGTTGATTCTGTTGTAATTACGACTCCCATTTCTCTTACCCTTTTGAGTCTTTGGACCATTTCCTTTTTCTTTTTTTTTCGTTATTTTATTTTGAGAACAGTGAAAATTAGTCTATTAGTCTATTTTCGGAATGCCATTTTCTAAATAAAATGTAAGTATAATTATTAATTAATAAAAATTTATGTTTATTTTTAATCAACCACTA